CGGGGTAAACCAAAGGAGCTTCTAAACCCATAGGAGGTGGCTCCCAGTGGAAGGCAACAGCCTAAAGACTCCAGCTGCCCCAGACCCTCAGCAGACCCAAGAAATCAGAGAATCAGTAAGTCGTATTACAGCCGTGTGCCCCCACCTATCAGTTGGATTAAACGAATGAGCCAACAAATAAGTCCCGAGTGCAGGTCCTGTTTCCAAGTTACTTCACCTGTGTAGTTGACCCTTGAACAACATGGGTTTGAACTGCGCGGGTCCACATACATGCAGGTTTTTTTCAGTAAATCTCTTAGAAAATTTTTTGGAGATTTGCAACAATTTGAAAAAACAGACGAATCGTGTAGCAGAGACATTTCAAAAAAATGGAAAAGTTAGGTATGTCATGAACACATACAGATATGTAGATACTAGTCTACTTTGTCATATACTATCATAAATATATACACATCAATTATAAAAAGTTAAAATTTATCAAAATGTACCCACACAGGAGAGGAACCATGAGAGAATGGACTCTGAAAAACAAACTGAGGGTTCTGGAGGGGAGGGAGTGGGAGGATGGGTTAGCCTGGTGATGGGTATTGAGGAGGGCACGTTCTGCATGGAGCACTGGGTGTTATACGCAAACAATGAATCATGGAACACTTCATCTAAAACTAATGATGTAATGTATGGGGATTAACATAATAATAAAAAATAAAAAAAAAAAAACTTACCCACACGGACATTTGCAGAGTGCACATGGTGCCATTTGAGTAGAGAGAAAGGTAAACAAATGTAAAAGTATCGAATCATAACCACATAAAATTAACTGCTGTAATAATTTCCTAACCGCCTCTCATCGCAGTTGTGGTGAGCTCAAGTGTTGCGAGCATCCACCTAAAATGCCGTTGGGGGGGTTGGGCGAGGGGCGCCTGTGTGGCTCAGTCAGTTAAGTGTCTGCCTTTGGCTCAGGTCATGATCCCAGGGTCCTGGGATCAAGTCCTGCATCGGGCTCCCTGCTCAGCGGGGCGTCTGCTTCTCCCTCTATCCTTCCCCACTGCTCATGATCTCTCACTTTCTCTCTCAGATAAATAAAATCTTTAAAAAAATGTGGCACTAATCATCTCTGCATGAGCAGTTCATCTCTCCAGTAAATTGCGAATCACAGCAAAAAGGGGTCTCTTGCCGTTCTCACTATCAGTAGTTAAGTTTGGGGGGAGTCAAAAGTTACATGTGGATTTTCTCTTATTTTTTTTATTTTTAGAGCGAGTGTGCTAGTGGTGGGGGGAGGGGCAGAAGGAGAGGGAGAGAGAGAGAATCTTAAGCAGGCTCCATGCCCACCTTGGCGCCCAGCTCAGGGCTCGATTTCACAACCCTAAGCCCATGACCTGAGCCAAAATCAAGAGTCGGATGCGTAAGTGATTGCACCGCCCAGGCGCCCCTGGATTTTCAACTGTACATTGGGGGCAGTACCCCATCCGCCTCACTGTCTAAAGGTCACCTGAGTCTTGGTTTCTCGTCTGTGCAATGGGAATAATCCTATCTGAATAAACATGTTTTACTTTGTTAATTTCTGTTTTGTTTTTAACGCCATACCCAGTGTTGATACAGTTCCTAAAAATAGGCTTTCTCATGTAGTGCTGGTGGGAGGGTAAGCTGGTCTAAACCCTCTGGGGTATAGTATAGACTGGCAGTACCAGTCAGATCCCTAAAAATGTGCCTGTCATCTGGCTTAGCTATCTCACGTCTGAGAATTTATCCTCGGAATTTATCCTAATCAGAACTATGAACAGTAGTCTGTCTGTAAGATCTTTATGCCCACATTATTTCTAATTTCAAAAAGGGAAAAATATGAAGTGTCCAGAAGGAGTATGTTGATTGAATTAACCGTGGTATATCCAGAGATACACCACGTAGGCCACTATGTACTATTAATGATGATGATACAAAAGACTTCTGAGTGGCACAGGGAAATTATTAAGAAATACTGAAATAAAGAAGGGAACAGAACCACACACAGTTCAGTATGTTCTGTTATTTTTTAAATAGATGTCATTTAAAAAAGGCAAAGAAGATATAAACCAGTGTGTTTCACTGAGTAATTTAGAATTTTGTATTTGTAATCTTCAGTAGTTCCAAATTTTCTGAAAAGAACAGATATTACTTCTATAGTAGATGTTTTAGAAAAACAAAAGCATCACAGGAAAGTAAACGTCACAGAGTTTGCAGTTGGAGCACCTTTGCCCATAATGTGAGAAAACCATGAAGTTCACCGATTCAGGCCTCCTTGTACCAGGAGGAAAAATGTGTCCCTTGAGCCTCCAGGTGCTGGGGATGGTCGTGGCTACCTGGGTAAATAGCCTCCTTTTTCCTTACGTAGCTTGTCAGTCTCCCCAATTTCCATCCGTGCCCCTGAGCACACTGATGGAAACACCAAAATTAAGCCTCATGATTTTCTGGGATGCCTACAAGGGTCAGAAACTAAATTTCCATGTGAAATTGCCTATCTCAATAAATTAAATTCATGTGTGCTTTTCTAAAAGGGCTTTTCATAACACTAATACCTTTGAATCCAACTGGCTTCCACAGACCTAGGAGAAGGAGCGAACAACCTTTTTTTTTTTTTTTTTTTTTTTTTAACACAAGGTCCAATTCAGGAAAAATAAAAATGTTTATGAGCCACATTTTTCTCCCACCCAAAATAAAACTCGCTTTTTTACAGTCCCATAGGAAAAAAAAACAAAACAACTGTTCTTATAAGCTATAAATGACCTTATTGCAAGAAGGACAACAGTTGTAACATTTTCACTGCTTTTTGGCCATCTTTTTCTGGGCATAGGTGAGATACAACAGCACAGAGCCATCCTCCCAATTTTTCATCTGGAGAATGGGGCCACTTAGTGTGGTCGTGGGCTTTCTCTGGCAGGAGCAGAGGCACTGGGGGGAGTTGTCAGGGTGGGATGGACTGGAAGGACAAGGCAGGATGAAAGTCCGAGGGGGCCCAAGCGACTGCCGCAGTGGGAAAGAGGGACCCCGTGCTCCAGAAGAGGTAGCCAGGAGGCAAGGTGGAAATTCACCATTCACATGGAGCATGCTTGAACAAGCATCTCGGCAACAATGTATCAGCATATGTTCTCTTCTCCATCAAAACTCCTCGCGGGGCACCCCGGGGGCTCAGTCAGTTAAACGTCAGCCTTCTGCGCAGGTCATGATCCGAGGGTGCTGGGATCGAGCCCTGCATCAGGCTCCCTGCTCAGTGGGGAGCCTGCTTCTCCCTCTCCCTCTGCTTGCTGCTCCCCCTACTTGTGCTCTGTCAAATAAATAAATAAAATCTTTAAAAACAAAACAAAACTACCCCTCTGCTGGGTTCCATCTTCAGGGGTGGTGGCCACAGGATCTGATCTGATCGAGTGGACTCGTTGAGCCCCATGCAGTTGTCTCGGAGGCAGAATTATGGCCTCCATAAGGAGAAGGCAGGCTTGAGGGACCTGCGTGGGTTTCTCAAGAAAGAATAAGTAGGGGCGCCTGGGTGGCTCAGTCAGTTAAGTGTCTGACTCTTGATCTCAGCTCAGGTCTTGATCTCAGGGTTGTGAGATGGAGCCCCACGTTGGGTTCCAAGGCGTTGGTCATGGAACCTACTTAAAAAAATAAAAATAGGGGCGCCTGGGTGGCTCAGTCGGTTGAGCGATGCCTTTGGCTCAGGTCATGATCCTGGAGTCCCTGGATCGAGTCCCGCGTCGGGCTCCCTGCTCGGCAGGGGGTCTGCTTCCCCCTCTGGCCCTCCTCTCTCTCATGCTCTGTGTCTCTCATTCTCGCTCTCTCAAATAAATAAATCTTTAAAAAATAATAATAATAAAATAAAAATAAACAAATAAACAAACATGCATATAACTGGGAACTTCTAGATCCGATTCAACTACGCTCTCAAAAAGTCTTTCACAAGATTGCACAGAAAGTCCACCTTAAAAAGTGGGCCGTGATGAGAATGGGTCTTAGAATCGTCACTGCCAGTTGAGAGTTGTATTTGACCGTTACCACTGCGTATATAATATCGTAGGACTCCCCTCAAAATCCCGTCTCTGAAGCCAGCTGTGGCACGGAAAGAAACTCCACTGGAAGTGCCCTGTCACCGTGGAGCGGCCCCCTGGAGTTTCGCTGTTGGCACCGCGCTGGTCCCATGCTGAGCCTGTCATTCATTACAGATAGATGCACCCAGACACAGGATCGTTATCCATTACTGCTAATTGGGTGATGTCTTTCAATAAAATAGAAATACACAGGCAGAAGGGCTTCCAGAATTAAGACACTCGTTCCTGCCCAAATGTTACAGTATTGTGTTGCGGGCGGTTTATCTGTAGCTGTCACGTCCCTCTCGTTAACTGTAAAACGGAACCCTGTGTTGGGGTGCCTGGGGCGCTCAGTCGGTTAAGCGTCTGCCTTCAGCTCGGGTGGTGATCTCAGGGTCCTGGGATGAGCCCCGCATGGGGCTCCTTGCTCAGCGGGGAGCCTGCTTCTCCCTCTGCCTCTGCCTCTGCCCCTCCCCGGGCTTGTGCGCGCTCTCTCTCTCAAATAAATAAATGAAACCCTAAAAAAAAAAAAAGCACCCCAGAACTCTGTGCCAAACAGGCACGGGTCTGGGTCTGTCCTCACTCGGGCCGGTGGGGGAGAGCAGTCCACCCTCTCTGGGGCACCGAGGAGCCGAGTGCCGCCCCGCCCCCCGCAGCCAGGAAGGGGCCCAGCGTGCGTGCAGCGCAGGGCCGTCTAACCTCGACTGGCTAACTTCATCCCCGGCGGGCAGCTGCAACAGCCACAGCCAGAACGCCTGCAGACACGATCCCCCCCATTTCAGGTGTCGCGGGGAGGATGCCGCGTAGCCGGGAGCGGGGCGGGCCAGCAGGCCGGCCCGGCCCCGCCACTGACCGGCGGGTGGTTCGCTCGGACGGCGCGGGCCGCGCGCCGCGCGCCTGAGTGGACTGGACAGTGACTGCCCTGTGTTCGCTGCTCTCTTTCAGCCCGTTGCTGGCTGTGGCCTTCGCCACCTGCTGTGCTGTCCCAGGAGTCGCCCTCCTGACCTGGGGTGTGAACCCGCTCACGGGAGCCCTGGGGGTCTTCAACATTTTCCTGTATACCTGCTGCTACACGCCGTTGAAGAGGATCAGCATCGCCAACACGTGGGTGGGCGCCGTGGTCGGGGCCGTCCCGCCGGTCATGGGCTGGACGGCGGCTACCGGCAGCCTCGACGCCGGTGAGTATGTCGCATCTGCTGTGTCCGCTTGGGGCGCCCGAGCCACGCCCTCCGTGGCGCCCCCTGCCGGCGGGCGCGAGCGCGTGCTAGTCAGAGGCGCTTCCGGACTCTGGTGCGTGCTGCTCGGTGTTAGTCTGTACTCAGCGTCTCGGCAGACGGGCTTCCAGAATTAAGACGCTCGTTCTGCGCGGCGGGCTGACTCCGAATGCAGAGGGAAGGGAGACCGTGTCGTCCGGCTTCCAGGCGAGCGTGCGCTTTCCGGGGCGGGGAATGTCGGGGGGAGACGCCAAAGGAAAAGCCGTGACTGCACAGGTGGAATGAGAAGCAGGGACCTAAAAATCACGGATCAGGTTGGGGCTGGTGATTCCTTCGGGGTGTCCCGGCGTGGTGGGGGGCGTGTCTGGGACGGGGCCTCCAGCTGTCCTCTGGAAGCGGACGCTCCGTCGTGGGCGGCTCCCTGCCTCGGCTCTTCACCCCCTGGTGGAGGAGCAGACCCCCTTTCATGAGTTTCTCATTTGCTTTTATATGATTTGCTTAAATTGTTCATGGTGCCTACAGTAAAACCCTCGAAACACATCTGCTTTTTGGTGCTGTGTCACAACGAAATTTGCGGGGTGAAAAGAGCTCATTTTTACCAGGTGTAAGGGAAGCCTCACAGTCTAATTAGCCACGTAATTAGTGTTTTTGACCAACACTTAGGAAGGAAGTGGTGAGGTTTCCTGCAATATATGTAAGTACATATTTGTCACATGAGAGATCAAAAGGCGTTGACCATAAGCCATTGCCCCGTAAGCCACATTTCTGAAGCTTTTCATAAAAGCCCTTGCACTCTGACTTGGCAAGCTTACCAAGGCGATTACACCTTTAGCACGATCGTCTCTGAGAACGGTTTGAATGTCCTGTAAATGTTGGAGTTTCATGAATCTACAAATAAAATATTCTAGACCGTACATGCTCGTTTGCTCCGCGATAAGCCCCCAAGCCTGAATCTTGTCCGTGTGGGAGCCGTGGCGGCTCGGTGGTCGGGAACCCGCGCTGCGGGGCAGGGGTGCCCCCGGGTTCGGAGCCCAGCTCCACCTGTCATCAGCCGTGCGCCCTTTGGAACGTTCTGGGCTTCTGTATGCTACTGTCTCCTCCTCTCCCACGCGGTCCCTTCTCATGGAGTTGTCATGAGGATTAAGTGAGTTGTTATTAAGTATTCCTCATTGGTACAGTAGATGGATTCAAACAGATCGAGAAAACTCCTGAGATTTTATTGATTTGCAAACTCTGAGCAGTTTGTAATTGTTACCAGGTCTTGGTGGGAAAGACCGCTGGGTTCTTAGTGATGGTTGTCTTGGGGGAGGGTGGAGAAGGTGGGAAGCATGGGTTTGATATCCCTAGACTAGATGGTGTCTGAATTACCCCCCTCGTTTGCACCTGCATACCACCAAATTCCTGGTCAGATTCTTCCTCCTAGTTCTGCCTGGAGCCCCAATCTTGACCCAAACGGCTGTCGCCCCTAGCTGTTTTTTTACCCTAGTAAAACCTAGTTCTCCCCTCCTGTACCTCTCCAGAACTCTCTAGTGATTGCCCAGACGTCCGAGGCGGGGCCCCTGAAAGCGACCCCTCATGTGCAGCAATGTGGTGCCCCAAGTCACCTGCCTATGTGATGGACACGGCCCCACACCCTGCCAGGAGTGCCAGAACCTTATGCAGGTTCCTCAAACCCAGCCTAAAGGAACCAGGCCCCCAAAACTACCTTTTCTCTCTGGGAACTCCCAGACGGAGTCAGGGCTGGGGCCAAGTAGGACAGCCCCGGAGACCGGTGTCACTGAAGATAGGTGGGGGCAGTCTGGTCCAGGACCATGCTGAACTTGGTCACCTCTGTCATCTGTCGGTCACCTAGATTCTTGCTGAGGGCTAGAGGTCTTTATTGTACTCCCAGGCGGTTCCCTCAAGAGGATTTTGAGCCTCAGTGTGTGTTGGGTAGAGTTGCATCCCCAGAGGCCAGAGAAAGAAAGAACTTTGCAGACGTCTTCTCACTTACGTGTTCAGGGATGGTGTGGATTTGGTTAAACTGCTAATAGTCATACTTAAAATTTTTAAAAAACTTTTTAAATTTGGGGTATGGTCTTTCTGTAATCCAAATTCAATCATTTGTATACAGATTCCTTAATGAGGGATAGCTAAGGGCCAGACTTAGGTTGCAGAGTAAAAATGCATGTTTATCTTGAAAAATGAGACCCCATCACCTACCCGAACTGACCCTGACATCAGGCAGAGCCGTCTGAAACAGATTGGTGTCACCACAGAGAGAAGTTGGTTGAAGAAGGTTGACCTCTATTACATCCTTTTTCTTCAAATCCTAGAGGCACATGGCAGGGCACACAATTATGGCTTGGTGTACTGCCTCCTGAATTCTAATTCACCCCCGGGTCCAGTCCTACACCTGAAGTCTCATCAGATTTACAGAGTGTTACTTTACATAATGCTTTAAACTGCTTCCCAAAAAAGGTCCAAAACAATTTGCTAGAGCAAACTCGAGATAAGCAGCAAGTCTTGGATTAAAATTGAATGAACGAATGAATCAATCAGTCAATCAGTGAATAAGTACCTTCCATTTTACAGCTGACAAAACTTGGTTAATCCCAAGTCAGTTGCCAAATATTTATTGAGCCTCAGCTATGTGCCAGGGCCTATAAAGGAGGAAGTGATCCGAAGAAATAAGGTAGAATCTGAGAGAATGTAGTTTCAACCTTGATATCGCTGGGATTTTAAGACACTGGGTTGAATAAGATTATATATATATATATAGTTTTGTCACCTTCTAGAACTGTACCATCCATTAGGACACCCACTAGCCACATGTGGCTATTTAAGTTTTAGTGTCAACTAAATAAATTTAAACACCGAGTTCTTCGGTCCCAGGAGCCGTATTTCAGCTGCTCACGGCCACACACGGCCAGGAGCTGCCGAAGGGGTGGCACAGAGAAGAGCGTCTCCATCCTTGCGGAAAGTTCATTTGTCAGTTCTGCCGAGAAGGACACATCGATGTCCTTATGAACCTGTGTGTCCCATCTTCCTCGTGAGTTCGTGCTTTAAATCCTAGGGCATCGAAGGAGACTGCACCTGTGGTCTCCACAAATTCTAAAGCAGTGGTTATCAAATTTGAGTGCACCTCAGAATCACCTGGCAGGCTTGCTAAAACCCAGGTCCTGGGCCTGAGAACTTGCATTTCTAGCAAGCTTGCCAGGTGATGCCAATGCCCCTGATCCAGGGACCACTTTAAGAACCACCAGCCTGAAAAGACAGAACGGGAGAGAGCTCTGGCTGTCAGGATATCTTGGAAATACCTCAGGATTTGGGCAGAGGGAGTGGGTAGATGGCATGATTTGAGACGCACACACCCACAGAGGTTAGGTCTCTCCTCTGGGTTCTTATCTCAGGGGACATGCTTGCTTTGAAAGCGAGCGCCCCGCTGAGCAAAAATGTGGCCCCACACGTTTCCCTTCTGTGGTATCTCCAAATCGTTTTGTCTTTGACCCTCTGAAGAGTGATCACTTTGGAGAAGCATATGAATAGAAAAGTCTTTGGAGTACTCCACTGAACCGCAGTGATAGGAAGGAAGAGAGGAGGGTGGAGGAGAGGCAGGGAGACCACCCACTCAGATCATCAGCCTGCTTCCTGGTGCAGGTATCAGTGAGGACCTACTGTGTGCTGGGCACTGAGGAATTCGGACTTGATTGAAAGGCACTAAAGACCCCTTGGCGGTTTAAGCAGGAGAGCAGCTGGGCCCGGAGTTGGGGTTTTATCTTAACAGTGGGCCGTGGGTGGGTTCTCTGTGGTGTTGGAAAGCAGTACTTTGCTGGGCCCTCCTTGGTCCTCCCAAGCCTGTGTGCCTTCTGTCTCCTCCTGCCCCCTCTCCAGTAGGCCTCTACCTATCCTAGGCCTGGCCTCCACCCTCCTGCCTTCCCTAGTCACATTTCACCCCTCAAGTATTTAGTGAAGCATCCATCAGCTCCTCCTTTCCAAGAGCACCTTGTGAACGCCCGTGAACCTCCAGGTGGGCGTGGATGCGGGGTGTGTGTGTAAAAGGGGGCCGACTCCACTGAGTGCCTTCCATGCCTTTGGTCCCTCAGTCACCCTGACCATGGGAACCTCCATAAAGGCCCCTTCCTGGGCCCGGAAGGTGGTCGGCAAGATTGGAGAGGAACAGCTCGAGGTGGATGGGCGATGGAAAACCCTACAGCCTCCAGACCTATCTAGTTGAGAAGAAAGATAAAAAACAAGTGGCCCTAGAAAACGATTTGCATCCCAGACCGCTTGCGGAGTAAGGAAATGTTAATGTTCCAAAGTACTTTTCCCCCTTCTCAGCGTCTAGATCGTTTTGTGGTTTCTGTGGTGGCTACAAGGCCAATTAAGACCTCCAGAGGGTCTGAGCCCTGAAGAGAGAGATTATGCTGCCTTCCGTCCTCCAGTCAAGACCGAAAACCTAAAATAAGCATAAGGACATCCCATGGGGTTCTGATCCCCCCCCCATAACTACTTTGTTGTTTCTTCACCAGACAGTGAAAAAGCCTTTCTTTTTTTTTTTTTTTTAAACTTATTTATTTGAGAGAGAGAGCACAAGCAGGGGGAGGGGCTGAGGCAGAGGGAGAAGCAAGCTCCCCGCTGAGCAGGCAGCCCAGTGCGGGACTCGATCCCAGGACGCTGGGATCATGACCCAAGCCGAAGGCAGATGCTTAACCCACTGAGCCACCCAGGCTCCTTTCTCATTGTTCTAGCTGCCCCCCTGGGCGGCGTGGGTGCAGAGCGAGTGTGCCTGCCCCGCCCCATAGGTACCCCAACACTTGGAGAGGGAGGCCGGATTTGGGTGGGAGGGGAGCCAAGCGATCACCGGATAGAAACCGGGAAAGCCAAACCAATGTGAGTTCTTGAGATCTGCTCTTTCGCCGCTGATGCTCTTCGAGCTGGAAAGCGCTAGCTTTGCACAAACAGCGCGCGGTGGGGTTTTTGTCCCCAGCGGGGCTGTGTTGTCACAGGCTGGGCCCTAGCTCAGAAAGCCCCGTTTGCGGCCAGTCGGCCTTAAAGGTAATCACCATAATGGGACTGTACCTGTGTCCATTTCCCTCCGAGACGCGGGGTTAGGCCTTTTCTCCCACCTGCCTAATTACTTTGCCTTCTTTTTTAAGCTGAACCGCTATTAGCAGAAAACATTAAAAATGCTTACCAGCAAAAATAAAAAACCCAGGAGGGCTGCTTTCTGGCCCCCGGTGTGGCCAGGACAACAGGGGGAGAAGTGACCTGCACGGGCCCGGGGAAGGGGTCGCTTTGGGGCGGGGGCGCCGCAGATAAAGTGCAGGGAGCAGACAGCCCAGCTCCCAGCGGGCCTGGAGCCACACGCATTAGGCTTCTCAACAGTGTTTACCTCCAGGGACGACTTCGTTTATCTTGGAGGCTTTGGGGTAAAGTACTTCCCCTCCTCCCTGCCAAAGCCACCTCTCTCAATCTCTCTCCCTCCACCGCCCCCATGGCTTTAAAAAGGCTCTGATTCTATTTGGTCATTTTCCCCCAATCTGACCCAATCCCAGGTTTTGGGAGTTTGTGGAATGGGCCAGGGTGACCGGCTTGTAGAGTTGATGTGTAAATTGCCTTGGGTTTGTAATTCAAATGTTGTTGTGTGGTAAACATTAATTATGTCAGCCAACATTCAGTTACAAATGAGGACTCAGCCGTGGGCCCTTATCGGGAAGTGACATTTGGCAGATGGATGGTTTTAGTAACAAAAAAAGAGAAGGAGTTTTTTTTTTTTTAGCCTCAGCTGGTAAACTACAAAATGTTAAATACTGTTTCAGTATATTTACCTCCTTTATTCCAGGATGAGAAGAGAGAATAGAACAGAGGGAATGTTCCATTCACTCGCTCATTCAACAAATATTTATCGAGGTCTTCCTAAGTACCTGGCTCTGTTGAACCCAAGCACTTTCAAAGAGTTCCTTAAGAACACTGGTTCAGTTTGAAATGAAAGTGAGTGTCTGTGTTCATTTTGTGTGAGATTTGTTTTCCCTAACTAGCCTCAGAGGGTCGCATTAATTAAGACAAATGACATTTTTAAAGACAGGGTGAACAAGGAACATTTTCATGGGAATATTAGCAAACCAAACAATATTAGAGCCCTATGCTCTTCGTAGACAAAACCCACAAAAGGCTGAGAAAGAATGTACTAGAAGTATGTGGCTAGACCCAAGACTGGGTATAATTGGAGGCCACCTGTGGTACGACCAAGGAAGTGTGCGCCGCGAAGTTGACCAGTTGATCAGGGCTTTTAGGGAGCCCGGCCGGTGCCTTCCTGAGGGAAATGATAATGCCAGGTAGACACGGTGCCTGGCCCCAGATGCACGTTTAGTCAATACTGTTCAGGGAACAGATTAGTATTGGGATAAGAAAGACGGAAATGCCCTCAGATGTGAGCTGGGGGAGTACAGAACATTGGGATTTCTTTTTTTTTTTTTTTTAAGATTTTATTTATTTCTTTGAGAGAGAGAATGAGATAGAGCATGAGAGGGGGAAGGGTCAGAGGGAGAAGCAGACTCCCTGCCGAGCAGGGAGCCCGATGCGGGACTCGATCCAGGGACTCCAGGATCATGACCTGAGCCGAAGGCAGTCGCTTAACCAACAGAGCCACCCAGGCACCCCGAACATTGGGATTTCTTAGAGAACCTGCAGATGCCCCAAACGAAACTTCCCTATAGGGAAATGATTAAAAAAAGAAGAAGAGCTCTGTGCTTCCTTCGGATAGAAGCCTCAGGTGACTCTGTGGGGACAGGTGACTCTGCAGAGGACGGGGACGGTGGGTGGTGCGCAACACGGTGAGGGAGGGAGGGAGCCTGTGTGCTGGTCACTGGGCCTCTTCGTCATCCTGAGTCACTTCCAGAGAATTCTCCCAGGGCAAGCTGTCACTGCCTACTCCGGTCCCTATTTTCAGAGGACCCGCAGTCTTGCCTTTTGTCAGTGCGCAGTTGATCAACTGGCCCCCACACCCTCTTCCCTTTATGCCCAGCGCCATCGAAGTCTATTACACAGTGGAAGCCGACCTGTTTCACAAGCTCCTTTGTGTTCACCCTCAAAGGGAAAGCTTTGGAATCTGTGACCATGAAGCTTTGGGTTTGGCTCTGCTCCCCAGCCAGCCCCCAGTTTACATAACCATGTACCCCTGAGAGCACAAACACAACCAGCCTGGGAACAGACCAGCTACCAAGGGCCACATTTAGAGGGAGCCTATTGTACAGGGGAGGGCAGACCTCCCCAGCCCCGCACCGAGGTTCACTGGAGCTGTTTCTTTGTCTTTTCCAAGGCCATGGGTGGGCAGTGAACGACAATGAATGGGTTTGGGGTCGAGGCGGGAAGGGGTTGAACGTGAGCCCACTGGGCAGCAGAAGAAGCAAGCTGAAACCACTGCACCCCGTTTCAAAAGGAATTTTGTTTTCGGAGAGCACACACAGGGACTCAGAGCTCCAACTTGAAGATGTCTGTCTCCATCCTCTTGGGAAACCATGTGGTTGGCAACTGCCTCTGGTTGGTTTGCCAACAAAATGATGGATGGGCGCTGTGGACAGGTGTTTCTCAACCCAAGCAGAGGCGGCAGTGGTTGAGGTTCCCCCCCCACCCCGCCCCTCGGTCCGTATGGTGTAAAAATGATTGATAGATGTTTTGAGAGGGTTTAAAAACGCATGTATTTGCACAGGGCCGCTAGGAAGACACTGGTTAGCCTTGCCCCACCTAGCCTTACACATCACTTACACACAACCTCTCTAAGGCTGACTTAGGTCTTCCTCCTCTGTTCCCCCCACACTCTATCCACCTAAGGTGATCTTCAGAGGCCGTCCTCCCGTTTCGTGTTGTCTCCCTCCCTGGCCAGACTCCAGCTGAGGACCTTGAGAACACACTGCACCTCTCGTCACATCGTGGGTCTCAGAAGACAGGCCCAGGAACAGCAGACTGCTCGGGGGTGGGGGCGGGAGGGTGGGGGAGGCTGAGCGCAGGCCTTTGAGTCAGTAAACTGAGTGCTCTGTGCTTACCCCACAAGGAAGGTGGGTTCCACCACAGCCCCCGGATTAATCCAAGTCTTCCTGTTCCAGTTCACCTTATCTTGATGAAAAGAGCAATTTGTTTTACATCTTTTGTAAGAGCAAGTAGAACCGTGTGGGGGGGGGGGTGGTTTTCTGATTACAATCCATTAAGGCTAAGCTGTGATTTCTAAAGCTCTTTCATTTGTGACATGAGCCAAACCCACACCCAATTTCCTCTCGCACAGAAAGCAGCATGCTACTCTTATGAAAATGATTTTTTTAATTATGTTATTTTAAGCAGAAGCATAACCGAAAATGCATATTGAGCAAAACAGAATACTCCAGTTGGCACACAAAAAAGCGGGCTTTTGAGAAAGGCGAGCAAGAGCCCACATTGGGGCCTGGATCATTTTAACCATTTCCAGCCTGGTTTCCCGGCCGACTTTGCTTTTCCTCAGCTTTTTAAACACAACGGCAGAAGAGCTACTGGGCCCTGGCTTACCCGATTCCCCTCCCCCGGTTCTGAGTCTTCTCTTGCCAGGACACGTCTCAGCCTTGTCCACCCCGCCCCCCATGCCCCGGTTGTCATCCCTGAGGCCCATAATCTGTTCAGACCCTTCGGGTGTGAGGCCGGTCCCAAACAGTGAGCGGTTGCTCCCCGTTATCTCATGCTCAAGACCTCAAAAGTGCCCCAAGGCCCCGAGAATCTAACAGCGCCCCCTCTTTACTGGTCCTTTATGATCTCCTTTCCCATCAGCACACAAAGGAGAAGTCCAACCTTCTTCTGTCCTTTCCCCCTTTCCACAGTACTCACTGTGGAGACAGAGACTGTGCCTAATGGAAACAAACTTTTTTTAAAGGTCCCAGGACCCCCGATAAACCGGCAAATGCAGTTTCTCCTTCCAGCAAGCCCCGTCTCTACCCAGCAACATGGACATTTGAATGGGCGCCCAGCAGTCCGCTGTTACCAGTCGATGTGGGAGCATTATCCTTCTATTTTTTATTTTTTATTTTTTTATTTTTTTATTTTTTGGGGGGGGCAACATCCTCCTAAAAGAAGGTGCTGGTATATGTGAATATCCCTGGGTGGGCCCGTTAAGGAATCTTTCCATCTGTAAGAGGAGAGTGATGTCACCCACTGGAAGGTGGTTGTGAGCATGAGTGTACATATAATACCTGCACCCAAGGACTGGCATGTGACTGCCACAAGGCATTTAACTGGGATGTCTTGCAGGCACCTCAAACTCAAAATAGCTCCAAATAGAGCTCTTTGTGCCTCCACCGTGAACACACTCACCTGTGTGTGTCCCCCGTGTTCCCCACCTGAGTACGAGGATCGGTGCCTGCCACCCCCATGACACCTGATCCAGCCTATAGATGCCCGCGTGGCCCAGTGGTGAGCTTTCCACTTAGTTGGGGCATGGTGCCAGCCTTTGAGAAGGTCTTCCCTGAGCCGTGAGCCTCCAGCCACCCCATCGTGTGGCCCTGTTCTGACTGTAAACAGCACTCATTACTGTCACAAGTGCTCCTGTCTGTCTCTCCCTCCAGACCTGCAGCAGGGCCCGGTCTTGCTCCCCACCGCCCGTTAGCATCTGGAATGGCACCTGGCACATGGCAGACACCCTCCATCTATTCACCAAGGGAATGGAGTCCACGAACAGTGGCTGCTTCCATTATTACCACGAAAATTGGAGTTATGTTTACATGAACTAAAATATATACGTATCAGGTTATTTATAGACTGGGTTAAAATGGATTGGAGGGATTTGCCAGAAACCCTACCGGAACAGGGATGCACGCATCGAGTCTTGGTTATTTTGTAATCTTGGAAGGCTGTAAAGGAATCGACAGACTTATGGAACCCACAAGACCCCATCAATGGATCGGAAACCTGACCCAGTCCTCCGAGTCTGAGCCCGCACGAGTTCTCCTTGTTATGCCACAACCATCTGATGCAATGAATTCAGAAATGGGCGCGTGTCTGCCCCGAACAATATGGGTAAAAGTCTCCACTCTATCTGGGAGGGGACGAGAAAGCCTTCCCCCATTGTAGCTGCACAGGCCGTGCTGTAGAGGAATACAGATCAGAGATTAAAAGAGAGGCTCGGTCCCTCTGATCCTCCTCGGCGTGGGCACCACAGGGCCCCTGCAGGACCTTGGAAGCCCCAGCTTGGTTTTCTGCACGATTCTGAATTATTTAAACTGCCTTCTCGCCTGCTGAGTTCTGTTTTCGCAGTAGTGCACCCCCCCCCCCACCCTTCTCTGAACATTCCCACAGACAAGGGGCTTAAAAGATGCTCATTACCTGCAATAGGACCGTGGTTACAGATTTTCAACCTCTGTGCCGGCCGGTGCTGGCCAGGGTAGATGACACAGTGGGTTAGTGAGCCCTCAGGTCCCTGACCCAGGAGGCACTTGGGTGTCAGGAGCAAGGCATAGAGGCAGAGCATCCCAGAAGAGGGAGGAAGGGGGAGGGGAGGCAGAATCCTAGTAGTTGGCCCTGTCGGTTCACAAATCAGTACTGGAAAACAGCAACCTCGGGTGGCTTTTAGTAAAGCCTTTCTTTGTACACGTGGGTTCCCGCCGATGCGTGTGAGGGACCCTCTACTGTGGTGGCATCGAGCACTTTCTATATTCTACTCCAGAGATGCAGAGGAAAATGAATGTTCCCTTCAGGAATTTGCATTCAAGCAGAAAACACAGGAGCACGTAATGATGGGACACCGGGGTTTACCCAGTGGTAGACGCAGGTCTGAGTAGCTTCCAGACACACATCCTGGCTCAGACCCCTCTTCACGATTCCCTGGTTGCCATCTGGATGTCCCAAAGGCGTGTCAGGCTGAACACACTCAAGGTCACACTCATGCGCTGTCCTCCCTGTCTCCCCTATTTGTCATCTCAAGGAATGGTATCTCCACGGGGCCCGTCTTGATACCTCCCTCTCCCTCCCCTCCTTATTTCACACTCACTCCCTGTCATGTGGCCTCCAGAAGGCCTCTCAGGTCCGTCCTCTTTCCACCCCACTGTCATCACCTTGATCCCAGCCCTTGTCGCCTCTCATCTCAGCCTCTGGTCAGGCCTCCCCTACCTGCTCGGGGTCCCTCCAGTGTATTCTTTCACAGATTGGTCAAGTGACACCACTGCCCTTTCTTCACGCCCCACCCCCCAACACGCACGTGTGTCCATGTGCACACATTCACACAGCCTTAAACACGTCACCATCTCTCCATGGCTCCCTGTTGTATTTAGGATCAAACCAGGACTTACTTAGCACAGTCTGCAGACTTGGGGACCCCACCCACCCCTCCAGCCACACTCGATTCCTTTTTTGATTTTGATACATTTTTTTAAAATTATGATTCAGCCAGCTGACCTTTTTTTCTTTCGATTGACAGTTCTATGAATCCTAACACATGTTCTCATCTCCTTTTAATACCCTGACTACACTGTGCATCTTCCTGCCCCTTCATGACGACCTCTCCCTCTGCCAGCCCCCAGGAGACCAGGTCACTCATCCCGCAGAGCTCAGCTCCGACGTCCCTTCCTCAGAGACGGCTCCTCTGCCCGCCTCAACTGGGTCTTGTTCTGTGTCCTCATGGCACGAACTCTTCCTGCACAGCTGCTGAGTGGTGATGTAGATTCGCTAGTGTGGCTCTTGATCTAATGCCCCGGTGGTGAACCCCCACCCCCACCCCAGGAGGGGCACGTGTGGATTTGTGCTCGCCATCCTACCCCCAGTGCCCGGTACAGTGCTTGCCACTTAGTAGTAGGTGCTCAGCAAACACTTCCATGCATGAGTAAATGGGCAGGGAGGTGCTCAGCAAACACTCCGTGCATGAGTAAATGGGCAAGGCGTCGCCTGCATGGGAATGAGCAGCCCTGCAGTCAGGACTTGGGGGTGGTGGCTTAATGTGGTAGGGGAGCTGGTCTCCACATCAGAGAGGCTTGTTCTGAATCCCTCCTTTACCTCTTTTTGTAGAATTTAACATCCTCTGAGCTGTGTTGGCTCACTTAATGAGCATAAAACCCAACAGCCTGTGGGCAGGATTAAATGAGCTAAACTGCATGAAAGTCTCTGTCTTAGTAGGTGCTCCAGAGTGGCAGCCTGCATCCCGCCCTCGTGGGTGAGGGGAGGCCCTGCGCCAGAGGGGCTAAATGCTGCTCGAGATCCTAATACGTCCTCCTCGAAAACCTGCAAGGCCACAGACAAGTTCTCGTTCTGCTCAGGGACCATGTCCCCTTATGCCGCTCCATTTACTGAACACATGCTGTTTTGGTACCTCCTGCTTGCCCTGTGGTGCAGGCTCTGTGGAATGTGCTGGACCCCTGCCCTGGAAGCGCTGGGAGTCCACCGCGAACCAGGATGCTGAGCGTGGGCCCCGAGCTACCTTCAGTACGGCCTTGGGAGCAGGGAGCTGCCCGCCACCCTGGGGAAGGACCTTGTCCAGGAGGCCAGGCCGGCTTGGGACGTGGCCCTGCGCCTCCCCCCAAGCGCCTCGCTCGCAAGGGGAGCCGAAGCCCTCCCACGGAGGTCCCCCCGGCCGGTGCAGGGGCTTCTGGAGTTGTCACCATGCGGTGCGCACCGCGTGGACGGGAGCCCCAGGTGCTCAGTGTCCTGGGGAGGGGGGAGGTGGTGAGGAAGCCGGCGGGTCCTGGAGGCTCGTCTCCGGTGCCAGGCTGACCCGGACAAGCAGAGGCGAGAACAGAGACTGGCAGGGGATCTGGGAGCCGCGGGAGATGCGGAGGGAGCACCGCGGGGCCGGAAAGGATGCTTCTGTGCCTCTCTGACCACCGCCTCTCTCTGCTCTCCCCCTTTTCCGCCCGCAACCCGCATGCAGGAGCCTTTCTCCTGGGAGGGATCCTCTACTCGTGGCAGTTCCCCCACTTCAACGCCCTGAGCTGGGGCCTCCGCGAAGACTACTCCCGCGGCGGCTACTGCATGATGTCGGTCACGCACCCGGCCCTGTGCCGGCGCGTCGCCCTGCGCCACTGCCTGGCCTTGATCGGGCTGGCGGCGGCGGCGCCCGTCCTCCAGGTCACCACGTGGACCTTCCCCGTCGTCTCCCTCCCCATCAACCTGTACATTTCCTACCTCGGCTTCCGGTTCTACACGGACGCGGACCGGAAGAGCTCCCGGAAGCTGTTCTTCTGCAGCCTGTGGCACCTGCCCTTGCTTCTGCTGCTCATGCTCACCTGCAAGCGGCCCCCGGCTGCGGGCGGTGCGGGGGGGGAGCCTCGGACTTGAATCCCCGGGGGCGCGTGGGGGGAAAAACAAAACCAAAAAACACGTACAGGGAGACGCACACTGTTTGTTTGGTTTTTTCCCCTTTGCGCTGAGACAATATTTTGGTAATTCTGGAGCTCCAGAATGGGAAATTGCTGGGTTTTAGTACAAGATCGTAAAATGATTTGGTGCTCGGTGATCGCCCGACGATTTTTTTTTTTTTTTTTTTGAATGATAACGTCCAAAACGCTCCCCAAATAAGAAATAGGTTGGCTCAGGTGATGAATACAGAGAGAATCTTTTTCTCTTGAGGAGTCTTTATATATTTCTTCCTCCAACACCTCTGTTGTTTTTCTTCTTCCTCCTGTGGATGTACAAGTGTACCTCTTCCTTTTCTGGCCACACACACGCACACACACACTCCCCACCTGGCCAGACGCAGGGAGCACTGGGACTCTGTCTGTGGTCCTGTCCTCAGGTCCCTGGAGGGCCACGTCGGAGGCCATGCGCACTGGCCGCCCTCCCTGTGAATGAGCCAGGGGCCCCGGCTCCAGCTTTTTCTCACATATATTCTCAGCCACATATTCCCCCAAACAATAATAGAATACCAAGGATGCACTGCTGCCCGACTTTCGAAGGGAGAATTCCAAACGGTTGCCTAGGGGATCTCGGGCAGGACTGCCAGCCCCCGGCCCACCCCCATTACGTATCCGCATTTCAACAACTCCAAGGAATCAAAGGCATCTTTATAGTTCACTTGAAATACAGGAGGTGTCTGGAGCGTTTCCTTCTGGAAGGGTGGCGCTAGACTTCACACCCACGGTCCATCTGCCTCTGACCCGTTACTGTCCCCCTCCGGCCCCTGCTGCCCACCAGGGAGGGAAAGCCCAAAAAAGGTGAGCCGGTCTAACCAGCCACATAGCTCACATTCTTGTCCCTTTGGTGAAAAACACAATTCTCTCCAGGTACCCTCTGAATTCAGAAATCAGCCCCCATACATCCAATGGCTGTAAGAGCCAGAGGCTTGGGCTGGACTCCTGGTGGGGGTGCATCCGGTTCCGGGAGTTGTTCGAGTTAACCTGTAGCCAGGTGTGGCCTCAGTCACCTGTGGTTCCTTCCATCCGTCCTTCACCTACGCCACTAGTCCGCTGTCGAACCCCACTTGCCGGAAGGCCTTGATGCTTAACAGGATGTTTGCATTACTCCATCTCCAGGGCACTGTACTGCCCCGTAGGAACTCATTTCAGGGAGTTTAAGCAACAATCAGACGGTCCTGCAATGTGCCTGTTCTCAGAAATTTCTAAAGCGACTGCAGGCACCATCTGACCCCTGTTTCTACTTATCTGCAATATTACCTCTTGGCTGTCTCCAGGTTCTTGACTGTGGGGAACATGGCATAGGAATGTCTGCAAAGAACATCGACACCTTGTTGCAGCCTTCAAATTTGTAAAATGCCTCCATTCTCTTTTCCCGCCCCAATAAACTGGTATGTAAGAACAGAAGCGTGTGCGAGGTTCTTTCTTTAATCACCTTGTATGGAGTTTGCACCAGTCCTGGCAGACTTGCTAACGCTTGACTCACTTTTATGAGCTAGCAGACGATTAGAACGCAGTCAGCATTTCTGTGTCGAGGTGGTGGAAGTGAACCCACTGGATTTTTTTATTATTATTATTTTATTTTTGGGGGTTTTTTTTTTATTTTTTTTAAAGATTTTATTTATTTATTTGAGACAGAGAGCACATGAGAGGGGGAAGGGTCAGAGGGAGAAGCAGGCTCCCTGCCGAGCAGGGAGCCCGATGCGGGACTCGATCCCGGGACTCCAGGATCATGACCTGAGCCGAAGGCAGTCGCTTAACCAACTGAGCCACCCAGGCGCCCTATTATTATTATTTTAGTGGGAGAGAGGGAAAGAGCAGGAGGAGGGGCAGAGGGAGAGAATCCCAAGCAGACTCCCAGCCCAGCATGGAGCCCGATGTGGGGCTCGATATCAAGACCCCGAGATCATGACCTGAGCCGTAATCAAGAGTCAGATGCTTAACCGACTGAGGCACCCAGGCGCCCCCACACTTGATTTTTAATACCTGTCCACTCCAAAGAATAATAAGCTTAATGATTATTAAGAAGAAGAAGGGCCATGACCCACCCACCCTCACCCTCCCTTCAGTTTGGAATCCCCCAGTCTCTCCCTTCTTCCTTCAAAACCACCACAGAAATCATCCTCAGGGCCTCCTAGGCCTGTCATTCTCCTGCTCGGAAAATACCAACGGCTTGCGTACCATCCCCACCAGGCAAATGAAGTTCGAGCTTCTCAACACTCAGACCAAGTTTTCTCTCCGGGGATCTTCGATGTGAAGCCACCTCGAGGATTTCCCGCCATGCCTCACACCTCCCTGAGGACACCCTGTTCTCAGATAAACTCCCCCCCCACCTCCCCAAACCCCTGTCCGGTAGGTCACAGTGTGGAACGTGGATTTCAAGCTCCAGTGACTGCCCCCCCACCCGGCTGCCGTCCCCCAGGCCCCAGGATGTTGCTCACTCACCCGGAGGCCTGGGGCACCTCATTTCTTCACACCTGACCTTGACCACCTTTCCTAAGGACTCCATGCTCCTCATCAGCATTACCCAGGTGAGTGAAGCCTGTTCTTTAATGGGGTGTCTTTGGGAAGTCTTGCCTATACAACAACTCCCTTGGGGTGTCACTTAGGACATGCACGCAATATGGCCTCGTGGGACCCAAAGTTAAGTAAAAAATTTTAAAAATCTCTGTTTGCTTCCCCTGGTACTTCCCAAGCCTACCCTTCCCAAGTGCAGGACCCTCCTCCCCGGGGATCGCCTCCCACCCCGCCCCTGAATTAGTGGTCAGGAGCACAGCCTGGGACATGCTCTCTGGACTAATCAGTTTTCATCCGGGTGCTTCAGACCACTCGGCTGCAAGCACAGGACTAGGCCCCCAGGGGCCCTGACGGGGTAGGGGCCACACGGGTGGCGGGAGGGGCTTGAGATAGGAAATGGGGTTCCACTGGGAGGCTGATTATTCTAGAACACAGCAAACAAATGAAAGGGAAAAAGGACACGTCCGGCCACTTCATTATTACATTTTTTTTTTAAAGATTTTTATTTATTTATTTGAGAGAGAGAGAATGAGAGAGAGAGAACACATGAGAGGGGATAGGGTCGGAGGACGAAGCAGACCCCCAGCCGAGCAGGGAGCCCGATGCGGGACTCGATCCCGGGACTCCAGGATCATGACCTGAGCCGAAGGCAGTCGCTTAACCGACTGAGCCACCCAGGCGCCCCATTATTACATTTTTTTAAAAGCATGCTTCTTAGCACAGTATTCCTTCTGACCCTGGGGAAACTGTACCAGTCTTCTTTAATTTCAGGAAAGCTACTCTATCAGTTATAAGGATAAAACCACATTTCACCGACGGTTCTGTCTCTGGAAGCCCGGGAAATGCTTTGCCTGTTCCCAGGATCCACTTTTGTCCTTTCAAACGTACAAACGGGCTCCATAGAAACACCTTTCGATACATGCGCTTTGAGCACCCCATTCGCCCGTTCTGGAAGAGAAAAGGCAAAACTGCCGAGAGCCGTGCTTGGCTCTGAATCTCCCCCCGCTAGTTCACCCTGGTTTCTCCCCACCCCGCCGTCATCCTCCCCTCCTATCTGCTGTGCTAGGAAAACAGCGGGGACCCAGCACTTCTCTGCCAGGCGGCGATCCTGGGAGCAGAGCAAAGCTTTTCCTGCTTGCTGCCCCTGGTGTGACAGGAGGCTCACTCCTCTGTTTCTGCTGGAGCTGGGGTCCCTGAGACCCACCTCTCGCCGACTCCCTGACGCGCCCCAGGTGATAGGATACTTGTAACTGACCGCAGGAGGGTCCCTTCTAAGGACATGCTCGCGTTCCAAGAGAACAGCTCGTTTGACTTGAACGGAGATCGGGATGTTGCCTTGGTTCTTCCTTTGGAATTTGAGGCTCGCTGGGGATGACCCACAAGGTTCTGCTTCTCCCGGGAGCACATTCTCTCCTTCTGGTCAAGTTAGTGGTGTCAAGCAACCAGGCGTCTAAGGCAAGAGGAAGATAAACAGGGTCCAGCCATCGGGATGGACACTTGGAAGGCTGCCTTTGGAGTCTTTCCCGTCAGCTGCAAACTGTAGGTACTTTTCTGTCCGCTAATCTGCCTCGAGTAGAAGTAAGCAGGACCAATACACTTGCTTAGTCTTTGTTGGAAACTCAAATATATTAGTTTCCCAGCATCTTCAGGCCACAGTTTCGTAACCAAATAGAAGATGTGAAGGGATGTTCTAGATCAAAGAACCTCCGGCCCTCACTTCCTAATTCAGGTTCTGTCCCACGGTCGCTGGGCCCCACCAGGCACATCACAGAACATCCGAGAGGCGAGGCGCCTGGCGGCCTCTGACCTCCCCGAGCTTGCATTCCGATGGGCCCAGCCTGGGTCACTGCTCATAGCGACCCATCGCGGAGGCCACTGGCTGGAAAATGTCCTCTGACTCTGACCACCACCCTCCTCCTCTGCGGCCTCCGGCTTGGGTTTTCGACGTTATTTCTGGGCTTTGCATGTTCTAACTGGAGACCGCCACCCAGCCAAG